TGCGGCTCCCAGCCTCCTCTGCCATTTGCAGAGAGAGAGACAGAGACAGAGAGAGGCACTTGCACTTCCCCCCCTCTCTGTTTGTGTGTGTATGTGTGTGTTAAAAAAGAGTGGCCTCACCTCCGACGAGCTGACAAGTTTATTAGGCGGGGCTCCTGCCTTGGCTGCATCTCTGTAGGAAGCAGGAAACAGGAAGGGGAGGAGAGAGCCAGCCCAATAAGAATATGTGTCAGCTCGTTGGAGAACAGCTTGAAGCTAGCTTGCCAGGTGAGCAGAGGATTGGAGAGAGGGAGAGAGGGGGGGAGAGAGGGAGAGAAAGGGAGAGAGAGAAAAAGAGAGAGGGAGAGAGAGGGAGAGGGAGGGAGAAAAAGAGAGAGGGGAGGGAGAGAGAAAAAGAGAGAGAGAGGAGAGAGAGGAAAGAGAGGGAGGAAAAGAGGAAAAGAGAGGGAGAGAGAAAGAGAGAGGGGGGAGAGAGAGGGAGAAAGAGGGAGAGAAAAAAGGAGAGGGAGAAAGAAAGAGAAAGAGAGAGAGGGAGAGGAGAGAGAGAGGGAGAGGAAAGAGAGAGGGAAAGTGAGAGGGAGAGGAAAGAGAGAGGGGGAGAGAGAGAGAGAACTCATGCACAGTAGCCTCTATTTCTTTTTAAGTTTTGCGGCTCCCAGTGTTTTCTTTTCTCTAGGAAACGGGTGCAAGTGGCTCTTTGAGTGTTTAAGGTTGCAGACCCCTGACTTAAACAAAAGAATGCTGCTTAAAAGAAGGGCTGTTTTCTGTAAATTAGAGCATCTTGCTTCTTTTCCTAGCCCAAACTTTCTTCCATAAGAGTGAGGAAATTGTGTTCATGATCTTCTCTGAGGCTGCTGGGAGTTGTAGTTGCACAACATTTTAGAGTTCCAAGTTCCCAATTCTTTCAGTAGAGGAATTTCCAATTGAGAAATAAGAAGGAAGAAATAATGCAGATGTTCCTTGATCTCTGATTCAATTGTTCAATTCAGCTAGATTGCAAACCTCAGATTTACTGAGCACGAGACAAGAAACTTGTCTTCAAACTAGGAGATGGCAATCTTTTCAAGCAATTTGTTTGTTTTTATGTTTTGATCCTGGGCTTATGGAGCGAAGGAACGGGATGAGGCTGTTGGCAGGCCCAGAGGAAGGGAAAAAGGCTTTTGGAGTAATTGGAGGTGGCATCAGGTGGCTCCAGGGACCAAAAGGAGCAAGGCCCCTTTAAGGAAAAGGTGGAAGAGACAGGATTAGAAAAAGAAAAGGAGACGAGGTTGTCCTGCAGGAATACAAGCTAATCTTTGCCATCGTTCACTCCCCATGGTCGTTCTGAAACTTGAACTGGCCCTGAACAAGGAGTGTATATCAGACGTGGTAGCCCTTTGAGAGCTGTATGCAACGAAATTTCATTTTGATGTATGCCGATTGGTGTACATCAAAGTGACAATAAAGTTGTTGTTGTTATTGTCGCTGTTATTATTGTTATTGATTAAATATTACAACTAGGATTACATTATGAATAGAATTATAATTATTATAATTAAGTTGCTGTGGTATTTTTTGTTATTTTTATTATTACTACTACTATGGAATATATTTCAGAAAATAATCATAACCTGGAATCCAATAACAAAAACTGCTTCTTTTTTTAAAAAAGAATTCTTTCGAACCAAAGTCCAATGATGGCACAAGTGTTTTTAGAAACAGCATTATGCTTTGTTGTAGTGAGCTATTGCCTGATAACTAGCTTTTATCTACAATTTATTACTGAAGTCTCTCTAGCTACTACTTCCCTTGAGCAATGGAAATAAATAAAATATGCTGAAACAGTCTCTAGCACACCATAGCAGACATCAAAATATGTATGGTGATGCTATTACACAAATGCCACCTTCTTAAGTAAATAAGAAAAGGATTGAAAAGGTGCAACATCTCACCTGTTTGTTTTGGGAATTAGTGCTATTAAATGCAATTATGTTTTCTGCAGAGTAGCCCATTTAAATTTAAATGCTGCCATCTTGTGGAGTTATTGATCTTTTACTTTATGTCCATTCATTAACAAAGTATGTCCATAATATGAGCAAATACTTAAACTGCATTGAGAAGGAAAACTAATTTGCTTACAAAATGATCAGCATGTTCTGTATCTTCTGCAGTTCATGTCTTCTAATCTCATTCTCATTCTGTAATAAAGTGTTCAGTTGGTTTTGATGTAGAAAACACCCAGGAAACACTATTACATTAAGTACTCTTCTCCAATTGTGTGTCTTCCAAATGGTTGTAATAACGACTCTAATTGTAATCTATAACAACACTCAATTGCTATGTGTTGAGTAGAAGAGTGGAAATTCAGATTTGGGGTCAATTAGAGTTTATTACAATCCCAGCAGTATAAAATTTCATCTTTTTCCTCCAATTTAACTCTACGATTTTTCTACACAATATGTTGTTAAATAGTATCAGCTACAACTTCTTCCTTATGATATTGCAAATTAAATTATAAATTACCCACAACTGAAAGATCTTTTTTTTAAGACAATAATTTGATTCAAGGCTACTTGAATGCTATTCCAAAGATTAGTCACGCTACCTATCATGAGAACACAATCTTGGTGTAAATCACAGATTTGTCATTAGTATTTGACTTAGAAGGATTTTCATAAATTAACAAGTACTTTATTATCATGACCTAAAGAGCTAGAAACTGGATATTAGTTTTAAAAAGAATGTATATCATAATTTGCAGTTGAAATTATGTGTGAGTAATCTATAGATTCACAGTCTAAGACTGGTGAAAACTTAATAAGTCAGGTCCTAACCAAGGACCTAAGAATTATTAAGATAACATCTAAAACAGCAGACTTTTTTGTAGAATTATGGTATTATTATGAAAGAATAAAGATATCAAGAATAATATACGATCTCATCTCCAATGCCGTTAGTGGACCTTAAGTGGCCCTGGACTCTGGTGGCTGCTGCTACTGAAGGCCAGGTTGGTCTATAACAAAGCCTCCCTATCCATGATTTGAGATGCATGAGAGGGCTAACCTGGCATGACCAAAATTTAGATTTCAATATATGAAAATTTGATTTGACAACTATGTTAGTGTGGTCACAGTTGAATACCTTTTTCTTTAAAAACTGATGCTAGTATAGTAAGAACTGGAGATAACTCTTCCAAAATTGTTAAGATATTCAATCAATTCATGATAAATTAGACTGATAGACTTGTATTCTTTCTCAGGGCTTTTGGTGGCTATCATTTTTATATTCATCACAAGCTCTGTTGGAGACAAATGAATTTACTGCTGTTTGATGGAGGTATCTAACTGTTATCACTGCCACCAACGGCATTGATATTCAACAGAAGCTACTACTATAATCAAGAGAAGCTCCAAATTATTTTTTCTTTATTCAACAAATACAGCTCTTTGCCTGTCTACACATTCCGGAAGAGAGAAGTTCCCTGAGAATGGGCTCCAGCAGGAATCCAAAAGTTCGGAAGACCAGATTGGATCTTGCAACACTATCCTGGGACACATATTTTGCCTTCATTCGTGACTTATGACTCTTTTTCACACTTACAACTATTGCAGTATCCCCATGGTCATGTGATCAAAGTTTGGATGCTTGGCAACTGATTCATATTTAACCCAGTTGCAGTGTCCCAGGGTCATGTGATCACCTTTTGCAGCCTTCTGACAAAGTCAGGAAGCCAGATTCACTTAACGACTGTGTTACTAATTTAAAAACTGCAGTGACTCACTTAACTGTGGCAAGTAAGGTCATAAAATGGGCCTTAAAATCTGTAAAACATTTCTGGTAAGGTAGAGAAAGGGACTATAAACAATCTGGCTTTCCATGATTTAAAAAAAATGTCTTGGAACTTCATGCGCAACATAATGGTGCTGCTAATTTCAACCAATTGCAACAGCTTTGCTGTTGGTGTAAACATTATAAAATCATGTATTATGGAAGTCAGAATTGAACTGTATTGTGCAATTTTCGTATTTTTTGCAATTTTTATCCAGCGGTTTCCTAAGGCCTAAAAATTATTTCAAGAGTCTCTCAGAGATAAAAACATTGAGAAAAACAGGTTTATAGTACTGCAAGATACCGAAAGCTACCATTCAGACCAAATCTATCAACTCTGTAGTTTTTATTTTGCAATCTGGCGCCTAATGACCATGACCAAGAAATGATTAAATATCCCAGTATTTGCCTCAGAGTAGCAACCTGTGTAATTGCATACCAAGTGGAAGATAAACCTCAGACTAGAAATAGAAAAGACCTGATCAAATCTCAGTGTTGGAAAGAGAAGTAATAATGAAGTTAATGTTTTGAGAGTGTTTTTAGCCATGGTCAAATAAAAAAAAAAGGTGATGGATCAATAAGGATGTTTGGGATCTCATCAGTATTGACAGTACCAAATGTCTACTCAGCAGCTACTGGTGCAGGAGCTTTACTCTGGCACAAAGGCAAATGTGATTTCATTTTTATTCAAAGCCGATGAACCTTTTCCATGCTGTTTTTTTCAACAGAACTTCCTTTCTATTCATTGACTAATCACACACAAGAGTCCCATGGCCCTTAGAGAATATGTTTCTGTTTGATTTCGCAACAAAGCAAATATTGTAGACTTGAAGAGAAAAATACTTCAAATAATTTTAAAATTTGCTAAGTAGAATCAGACGATGAAAGCATTCAGAGACATTCAATACCACTGAAGGCTAAATCAGCAGTAGTTGATATTATTTTTTAATTCATCTCATCTTACTGCAAACAATTAGTTCTTAATGAAAATGCATACCTTCAGTGTGAACATTTACTATATCCCCACTTCCACTAATTCATCATCGTTTATCCAAAATCATTTCAGGCCCTTGGTTATTGTTTTTTGGCAAAAATAATCACTTTCTTTCATACATTTTACAAAGTACACATTTTTAAAAGAACATTTCAGACCCAGAAAAGGTTCAGATTTAACTTTTTATTAAGCTGAAATTTTATATTAAAAACTCTCTCTAGAACACACAAAAATGCACATAAATCTTGAGCAGTGTTTCACCTGAATTTCTCAATCATAAGTTATAGTCACAAGTATACCTGAAAATTCTCTTGCCTTGCCAGCTTTATAATCTCTTGTGTAAAATTATTCTGTTGAATTACAAGAGTATGTAGTGCAAACTGCACATAATCTTGGACCCATTTCAAAATAAATAGACATGGATATAGGACCAGCTCAAATGTATGTACAGTTATGGAAGTTCATGCAGGCACCAGAAATGCTGGAGTTACAGCTCCTCCCTGTAATAGCCAAGTTTTGCCAGCGACATCTCTTTCCTCAGTTGCATGACTTCCCAAAACATCTGGTCCACTGTACAAAAGAAAAGGAGATGTTGTGGGAAAAAATGCTTATTTTGAAGTTCCCAATGAACAAAGATATTTAGTAATGCTAAATCTGAGTTTTCAGATACTAAAAGCACTATTTAAATATAATACAGCTACTGAGAGGCACTGACTGGAAAAAAATATACTTTATTTTAATACATGTCATGTCTAATCACTTTTGATTACATAGCTTATCATTCAGTTCATCCTTCAAACTAATTCAAGATTTTGCCGGTGAAATCTAATGACACATCAACCATTACCAACTGCACTATATTAATTATATTTTTTCCTGCCTTAAAACTATTTACTTAATCTGTTTATATAAAAAAAATATTTACTTCAGAATCCTACAGCCATTTAGGTTTTTCTTTTTAGATGCATCTACAAGGACCCAAATAAAAACATCTAAATTTCAAAATCCTTATAACGGTGTAAAAACATTAACATAAAAATAGAATTAACAACTATGCATACAGATATAAAAATTATGACAGATTACTTAGCTGATGTTTAACGATTTAAGGATGAACATATCAAATTGCATGCAATATTTTTCATATAATATTAAAATACTGAGACCATGTAAAATAGATTTTACATGACAGTACAGTGATGATGCTTACATCTTTAAAAATGTTTTACCATTTTTAAAATCAGTTTGCATGTTTGAATCTAACTTTTAAATAATTTATCTAATTTAATCCCCAAGTGCAGTGCAGATATGGAATATTCACAAAAGGATGTAAAAAAGTAAGAGAATAGGAAAACTGGTGTATATATATTCTCTGTATGCCCAATTTAGAAGAATGAAACTCTGTTTTCTATTTTTCTTCCCCTACCCTCCCTTGATGCAGACAATCTGTCACAAAAATCTGTGGATATATTTATATGAAACTCAGTGATTGTCTAGAAATTAAAAGCTTAATGACATATTGCCCCTTTGAAATTTGCACAGATGACTGTCAGCTTAATTATGAAAAATAAATTCTTCTTCCTAACTGCATGCCATATGGGAATATAAAAAAGCAGCAAAGTAGGAGGTTTTAGATCAGGTTTAGAGGTTGTAGGAACATTAGAACTTCCCCAAGTTCTCGGTTTACAGTATATAGCAAAAATACACTTCTATCAGTCATGGCCAAATTTGAAAACCCACAATTTGCTGAAAAAAACATAGCAGCCCTGCTAAGAAATACACAACTTTCTTACAGTAACCCTCATTCTTAACTTACCATCCTGCTGTTTCACAAGCCCCTGCTGAATATATCGAATGTATGTGAAGAAATTACATACTGATGTGATCTGTACAAAAGAAGGAAAATAATGAGAATTCCACATGTTCAATTACTTGCCTGATCCAGATATACAAATTATGATTTAGAGCTTGATACTTACCCTATACCTACAGAAAGGAGAAATATAATAGTAGTTTCCTGAGTCCCCCAGCTTGATTCGATGCTTGCAGGATTTACTTTGTCCACTGAGAGCACATTTTCTGTCAACAGAATGGAACAATTTTAAATGATGGGTTATGATTTAATTTGCATGAATACTGAATTATGATATAGTTGTTTACCAAAAAGCCTGTCATCTATTTTTACACCACTTTGATAGAAATTATTGTAAGTTATGAACTGATATGCTCAGTGTTTACAATGTTTTGTAAAGTGTTAAACCACACAAGTAAAATTTACAACTCCAGAGAGAATTGCCCTTTGCAGTGGTCTTTGCATTTTTTTTTAAAAAAAAGTCCCCCCCCTAAAAGCACCTCAACCATTCCAGACTTCAGATCTCTTCACTTTATTGTGGTTTAACATCTCTATGGTGGTGATTTGCAATGGTTATAGCCTAGCCCTAGTATAATATATGAACTCAGCCACAATGTTACCTATGAAGGTCGTTTGATGCTCATCTCTTGCTAGTTACCTAATGATAAGAAGTGCCACTTGAAGAACTACTTGAAGTCAGCTTCTGATGCAACAGGAGGGCCATGGGGGAATGAGAAATAAGATCAGTGAAATGCCTGATCCTGGGGAAAAAAACTTCTTTATGCCATAAAAAATGGGGATATAGCCAAGATGGTGTGTAATTTGTAGGAGTGAAAACAGTGAAATGTAGAAAGCACAGTAAAATATGGAGACAGGAAGAGTCACTCCTTGCTTCTTGAGCCAATTAACTGTCAGGCTTGCAGAGCCTGGAGATGTATAAAGCTTCCCTTCGAAGTACTGGAGCACATCAGATGCCTGGTAATAGTCTCAGGCAACTAGCAAAACCAAGAAGATAATCAGTGTACATAAATGTGCTTTATAACTCCTGCATGTCACTGCCATTATTTAATGCAGATGGTAACAAAGTATTATTTTTTGGAGATAGAGTAAAAAAGATGCTGTGCAAATATTAGAACACGTTCCAGTATCTTCATCTATGTATTCTTGTTATAGTTATTTGCTTTACAAGTAAAAAAACATGGATACCACATAAAATATCAGAAAGTAAAATTAGATTCTAGAAAGTTGGGTTTTTTTCCATAACATAATTATTAAGCGTACAAAATTTTTATTTTCACAACCATAATCAGCCTCAGAATCACCACCAGTAAATGTTACTACTGCTCCTGATTTTATTAAGAAAAGAAAGTAGACTGGGCTATTAATCTAAGCCCCATAAATTAAGTTCGGACTGTGATATTCAATGATAGTGATTTTCAGAGTTACTTAGAGTTCTAACTTATCTTATGGGCTTTTCATTAATAGCCCAGTCTATTTTCTTAATCTCTCTCATGGCACATCAACTGCCTTTGCCCTGGTAATACTTGCAGGGGCCACAACTTTCCCTCTCTGTACAAAAGAAAATGGAGATCCCTGGCTTGCTGAGAAAGAAGTAGGGCATCCTATAGCTTTCCATGCTGCATTTATGGAGTTTCTGATTTGGGGTAAATCTGTTAGTCATTTCTTTCTGGCTGCCAGAATGAAACCCAGCAATATATTCCTGGTACCACAAGATCCTTTACATTGCAACGTACTTGGGTCCTCCACATTCAACTGCAGAAGCTTTTACAAATCGAACAGGCTGCAGACCAATAGGCTCAATGCTTAATGTATTGTTTTCTACAGCTTCCAGGACAGCAGAAGCCAACTGAAAATAGACCAAAAAGAGGTAAGTACTAGTTTTCCCAAGGTGTTTCCCATGTTATGAGCTCTATCTGTAGATACTATTAATTTACCTGAGGTGTGTACCTTCAATATTTTAAATCAGTGTTTCTCAATCTTGGCCTTTTAAAGATGTATGGACTTCAACTCCCAGAATTCTTTGCCAGCATGGCTCCCTGGGAATTCTAGGAGCTGAAGTCCATATATCTTCCAGTGGTCAAGATTGAGAAATACTGCTTTAGAAGCACAGGAATGAAAATGTGAAAGATATATCCAGCCGCCACTGCCCTCTCCAAAGCTATATTAGTAGCAGAAATTGCATTAAGGCTAGACACTATCATGGTTCTTCTCATATAAACCAGAACAATACAGGATATAATACAAAGGAGCAAAACCATACAATTCCTTAACGTAAGAACCAGCTTTAGATTTGCATTGCAAGGGAAGGCAGCATTTTGGTGGCCATTATTATTGGGAAATTTCACATTATTTTCTTCCACATTTTTATTGGCAGGGAAGAAGATAAAGAGTTTTAGAGTTTAATTGCAATTCTCATTTGTTTCTGGCTTTTAGATGGTGGGAAAGTACTACTGAACTACACTAGATTATCCCACGCCCACCCCACAAACAGAGCTCAGATATCACAGGCCCCATTTATGGATTATGATCAAGAATAAAGCATTCTCAGTATATTTCATATATCACGACAGATGGCTTTCAATTTGAAAAACTAATGAACATATCAGCTTTTAAAGCTAGTGAAAATAAGAATAGCAATGTAGAAGAACTGCCCAGAGGTTCTTGGTTTAATATAAAGCTAATTCTGGGTTCATAAGATTAGAAACCAATGCAATATCTATATTCATTAAAATAAGATTTTAGGAGCAGTAAGATTGTAGTACAATATGGGAAGGAAAAGGAAAGAAATGTATTATAATCTGGAAAAATTAACTGAAATATTTTCCATTAAAACAGTTTGCAATTTAAGCAAAGCAGTTATAAAGTGAAGTTGGGACTGTGCTTATGATCTTACTTCAGCTTTCCTTTGCTTTACAGTCTTGCTGTCATAAATATGAGGACTGGTTAAGTTACTTCAGGATCACTAAATGAGGCAATCACTAATCAAGGACTACATGTAGATTGACTCCTTTAAACCATTTATCAACTGAAACTACTCAAAGGTTCAATATGGCTGCTTTGAAACTCTCAATAATGAATCCAGAAGAATTTTTTTTCTCATGAAATAATATGTATGATCTTAACTGTGAAGTGGTCCAGAGCTACAGTATGTGCAATACAAACAAAATCAATCCTACCTATAATTCTGTAGAAATGCTTTGCAGATAAAAGAGGGAATTTTGCACTTAACTGAAGATATCAAAGTATTAGGTGGTGGTTGTTTTAAAGGCCTTCTTTCATATTACATAACCAATCTAAGTATCATTATATGTTTTCAAAGCATTACCTCACTTTTTGAGAAGGTTAAGCATGGAAAGATATCCTCCTCGTAGATTTTATTGAGAAAAGGGCATGTCCTGTCCATGGTAGGATCATCTTTCCAGGATCTGAATTCATTGTATAGAGATATATCAGCCTAACATTGAAATAAAACAGGCAAAATGAGAGCCCAAGCCTTCATTCAAGAATCACACTAAACCAGGGCTTTTCAACCTTTTTACCCATTGTACCACTTTTAGGATATGGCAATATCTGAGTACCAACAGTCGCCTAGCAAGGTGTCAAAAACTTGACCAACAGCTTTCTTTTAATTTGTTCAAGGCTAGCACTTATCACTACATTGTTTCTTTTGCTTAGTGTTTCTTGGCTGTCTGCCAGAGGCTATTAACTGAGCAGGGCAGGGAGGAAGAGAGAGGGAGGGAGGGAGGGAGGGAGGGAGAGAGAGAGAGAGAGAAAACCTCTTCTCTGGTACTTTTATTTTTCGGCTTGACTTTTCTAACAGAAGGGAAATGGATGTTTCTTTTGGAACAGCTTTTCGTATTTGTAATAGTTGGTTTCTGGGGCTAGGTTTTCTACCTCCTTTCCTATTGTTCCTGCCTCTTTAATATTTCCCAAAGATATTTCTTTTTCATGGGTATGTAGATGCTAACTTCTAATTATTGATTGAATCAATAATACATCACAGCCATGGAGCAAGTTTCAAATTGACTCCAGAGTTCAGAGATCTTAAACCAGGGGTGGGGAACCTTGGCTCTTTTATGACTTGTGGACTTCAACTCCCAGAATTCCTGAGCCAGCATGGCTCAGCTTGGAAACCTCTCCCTTTCCCCTCAGCATGGCTGGCTCAGGAATTCTGGGAGTTGAAGTCCACAAGTCATAAAGGAGCAGCTCCAGCCGTCTCTCGCTCAGGCTTGTGCGGTGCTGCTGCCGGTTCAGCTCATTTCCCTCCCCCGCTAGGATGGTCACGTACCACCTGCCAGGTACCAATGTACCACAGGTGGTATGGGTACCACCGGTTGAAAAGCCCTGCCATAAACCATATTGTACCAAACCATAATCAACAAATGATGCACATTACACAGCACTTGCACTTCAGTGATAACAAATTGTGGACAGCAGAGCTTTGTTAAGAACTCTGAATCTACATTAATTTGCAGGTGCTTCATCCTTCCACTTAAATCAAGATAATTAAAGTCCATCGTACCATTGCATAGCAGTTTCAAGGCACTAAACGGCAGAACTGGACAAGTAAGGCAGACTTCCCCAAACTGGGTATCCAGTTCAGCAATAGCTATGTTGACTGGGAATTCTAAGAATTGAAGTCCACATATTTGAAGAATACCCAGAACAGAGAAAACTGAACTAAAGTATTAGTTATTTGTCAACTTCTGCCTTTGGCTTCTTAATATTCACATACATATATGCCATTGTTCATACTTCAATCAATTTTTCTTTTTTGGATTTAAGAGATGTGTACTAGTGTAAGCCAAAGTAGCACCATACTAAAGAAGTTAACAATTTCTGGGACCACCAATATTTAAATTACATGGCAAATATATGCTCCATCCGCTTAGGAAAAGTAGACTAAAAATGCTCAGTAAATTTCTAACTGGCTGTTGAAAAAGAATATAAAGAAAACTGGATGGTTGAAAGGAATGAAATAGTGGATGGTATAGTTGGCTGGCTGATGCAACAAATGGGAGATCTCTTGAACACAGCATATTGTTGAGATTTTTCCAGTTGCCATTAATTTAGTGCTTTAATTCTATAACTTTTAAAAAAGAGATTCCATTTTCTTTATCTACTTTTTCTACCAGAATTTACTCCCAATTCCATCCCATAAAAACCTGACAACAACTAGCTTAATATAGGAAGAAGCCTTGTTAAGCCAATGAAACTAAAAGCTAACCCTAAATTAAATTAAATTAAATGTGCAGCTGCAACTATATCATTCAAACCACAGTTGGGGGGGCAGTTATGAGTTTCTCCTCAATATAGCATTTCCTTGTATGTGGCTAAAACTGAAACAGGGAAAATCTGTTCCTGTCAAAAATATGTTCCAGTCCTGAAGGCAGGACAAGAAGCAATGGGTGGAAACTAATCAAGGAGAGAAGCAACTAAGGAGAAACTTCCTGACAGTTAGAACAATTAACCAGTGGAACAACCTGCCTCCAGAGGCGGTAAATGCACCAACACTAGAAGTTTTTAAGAAGAGACTGGACAGCCATTTGTCCGAAATGGTATAGGGTTTCCTGCTTGAGCAGGGGGGTTGGACTAGATGACCTCCAAGATCCCTTCCAACTTTACTTACTACTACTACTACTACTACTACTACTACTACTACTACTACTACTACTACTACTACTACTACTACTATTATTATAAAATGCATTCACATGAATATAGCAACAGGTCTAACAAGTTATTATATATAGACTTTTCTTTCAAACAAACATTATTACTGAAGAGTTTCAGTTGCATGTGGCAGAAGAGGGCTCAAATTATAACCAAGGACTTTCTGTAAAAGCAGCCAATTTTTTTTTTGCAATCCCTGAGCTCCATATTTCACCACACCCCAATTACTAAAATACCTCTTTGCAGTCCTTTACAATTGGCTGCATCATGTTAACTTCCTGGTTATTGACACCTATTGCACTACTTGTACTCTTGTTCCTTGTGTGGCCTTTTCTGAAGACTGTTTTTCCACTAGACTGAAGCTCTTTTGTTGGTGAAGTCGGAGAAGTAGATAGCACTAATGCTTTCAGAGCTGCTACTTCAGCCTGAAGTATATCAATCTAAATATATATCAAAAGAAAAATATGTTAGAAACATGCATCCTGCATAGTAAGATGAAATACTATTGTTTTTTTTAATTTATAACAAGCGAAAACATGGCACATTGCCCTTGGAATTATCACAAAAAGATGCATGTGAGTATAAGTTTCATAATTCATAGCCAATATGATTGAAATAAAAAGCATTGCAACCCCAGAAAAATCAAGATTTCAATGCATAGGTAGCAAACTAGCAACAAGATTGATTTTGAAGGGCAACTGAAATCTGATACCTTTTGAACTGTAATGTATTATTCTGTATTCATGTTATATTTATGTATACAAGTAATATAATTATGAAAAATTATTTTAGTAGGACATGCACACACACACACACACACACACATATATTAAAATATTTTGCTTGAGATAGGAAATATAAAATAATTATAGAAAGAAAGGAGAACTATGAAAGGGACACAGTTAAGGGCTATTCTAGTGATTTATTTTGCTAGGAATTTTTTTAATTTCCTTATTTTCTTTGCATTTTTATGTTAATTAAAACTGCAAGCCACTCACAGTGTTCAATTTGAGCCAAAAAAGCACACATGAATTGAGCAAATAAATAGATTGATTACACTGATTATTTCAGCAGTGAGTTGAATCTGAAAAGGTTTATCAACTTTGAATACTGATTTAATTCTTTATGCAAAATAATCATCCAAAAAATAAGAATCCTATTCTCAAATGGTGAGAATACAGTTTCTCACCAATTTCTCTTTAGATTGTTTTGACACACAATCAACAAAACTGATTTTTGAACTCTGTACATTTGAAATGCAGTTAGGAAATCACAAAAAAGAAGCATGCATAGAGAGAAAGAGAGAAATTTTGTAAATACTGGCTATAATATCGAGAATTAGAAATCACCTTTCCTTGTGCTTCTTTCAACTGTTTTTCTGCTGTGGCCTGCTTTATATTAGCTTCTCTCACCATCTTATGAGCTTCCTATTGAAAACAAAGCTTATGTGGTATAATTACTTCACACAGATTTACACTATATATGTAAAATAGGACCCAATATATTCATTTTTAAAATTCTCTTTTATTTTACTTTTATTAGAAGCATTAGACAGAAATAAGATTTTAGATCTTTTTGGTGATTGCAATTGTGATGACACAACTTCTGAAAAACTTACAGTGCACTGTTAGGAATGTTACCTATGCCTTAAAATTACTGAAGTATAGCATAGTAATTGGAAAAACGAATCTAAGCAAATTTAAACAATCACTGAGACTCAGTTACCACAAAGAAGCTAACGATGAGAATATCATTCTAAAATCAAAAACATGAATTTGAATAAAATCATCTAAGATATGGAGAAATTTTCTTCATTTTGAATATGCAATGTTCAGAAGCACAAACAATTTCCAAATTTGCCATTTTGGGAAAAAAATTAAAGGTTTAATGAAATTAGCCATATCATTCCTAGAGTATACTATACCAAAGTCTTCAGACAAACCTCAAACAGGCTAGCAGTGAGTTCTTCCAGTTCCTGGCCAAGTTGATCACGTACTTTGGAAAGCCTCTCACATTCTTCATCTTTTAATTTCAGCTCCTATGGAAAAAAATGTTATTTTGACATAGCTGACAGATTTAACTTGCAAACTCAAAACAATATGGAAGTTAGGTTCATATTATATGCAACTTGGCAGGCAAATGCATTTTATTCAGGGACCTGGTTTTTTTTATAACTAATCAAAATGCATAGAATCCATTTTTAATATAAAATAAAACAAAGACAACAGGAGATGAAAATTCTATCTTCTTCACTCCTTTATCTACACTACTCTCTTGGGCTCATATCACAAATGGTGAGTTTAAGAAGTAGGCTTCTTACTTAAGAAACATAGTTCAATATCATACTGAGATTATTAACTATGTCTTTCTAAAGTTATATTAACATATATGTTAAAATCCGAAACCAAAATAAAGCAATAAAAGAACAAGACCAAACCATGTTAAGTTAAATTGCTTGTATCATTCAAAATAAATTAACTTCCCTCACTTTTAAAATATTCTTGTATGGGTCAAATAAATCTGAAAAGTTATTTTCTGATGAATTAATTTCATTTTTAAATCATAAGCAGTGTATTTCAAAATTTTTTACCACCTGGACCATTGATTTCCTGAAATTGAATATTCCAATTCTTCCTTCCACAGATCAAGGTATAACTAATACTTTAATTTCATCTTTTAATACCTTATAAAATTAAATGGTAGGTTTTCATGCAAGAAAAATGTTTCTTAAAGAAGTCAATATTGCAGATTTTCAGAGACTGCTAACCATCTTAACTATACTATTCAGTTAGGGCAGTGGTTCTCAACCTGTGGGTCGGGACCCCATTTGGGGTCGATCGACCATTTCATGGGGGTCGCCAAGCAAGGCTGTCCGCCATTTTTTTGTCCGCCATTTTTTTTGTCCGCCATTTTTTTCCCCTTTTTTGGTGGGTGCCTTACCTCCCTTGGGCTGGGCCAGCTGGTGGTCAGCCTGCTCCGTCTCTGCCGCTTGCCAGCTACGCCTCGGCCGGCGCAGGGGGCGGAACCACGCATGCGCGGCGCTCCCGGGCAGGGAAAGTCCTCGATTTACGACTGGTTGGGTAGTCCTCGACTTATGACCGGTTTAGTCCTCGACTTACAACCGGTTTAGTCCCCGACTTACGACCGGTTGGGGTCGCAGCATTAAAAAGGTTGAGAACCACTGAGTTAGGGGATGTTTCAGCTGTATATACTAATATAGTTAGTATATTAGTACTATTCAGCAAGTGTATATTGTATTCAGCAAGTGTATATTGAAGGAAACTAAAATTCAAAAAGTAATATCTCAAAATTGTTAAAATCACCATTAAAAATCAACTGGTTTAAAGCATTAATCCTTTTTTAGTCCAAGCATTCCAATAAAATATTTTCCTGCTATTTTCAGAACTATGTCAAGTTCTTTTGTCATTCGTCTAGCACAGTACCACAGGAGCAGGAAGTTCCAGAAATTTAGAGAGGCTTTTTCCCAAATTATACAGAGATTCTAAGGACTGAATGAACCCTAATGACCTGCTTATCTATTGAATACCTGAATAACAACCCTTTCCCATAGCCAGAAATTTCAAGAAATATCAAAAGAACGATGACAAATAGCTGCAGTAACTGAACAAAAAATGGAAAAATGAAAACATAAGGAACTCAGGGATATAAAGATGTAACATGACCTCAATATGATCCCTAGTCCATGTTATATAACACAGTGTCCACAAGTTGAAGTGCAATTGTCACATTCTTTAATTTTTTTTGCCTGTAATTAAAAGCATTTTTCTGAACTGGTGGGACAACTAAATCTGTGGAACCTGCACATATGTACACACAAATTACATTTCACAAAATCTGCCATATCTGTAGCCAAATCTGAATACAAAAATTGGTTAACTAAAAACAAATTTGTATTTAAGAACCAAAGTGTGAATCCTTTAGACCAGGGGTGTCAAACTGCCAGCCCACGGCCCGGATGCGTCACACGGAAGCCACGCCCACCCCATTGCCAGCAATGGTAAAACAGTCCCGATATGTTGCGCGACGTCACATGACGTCGCGAGTTTGACATGTCTGCTTTAGACTTTAACAAGTGTTAAAGATAATGTACAGCACTAGGGGGCACTAAATATTAAAAAATGTAAATCAAGGCAATGGCTGCAAGATCCCAGAACAGAAAGGATCTCTCCCTGTATAGGTGAAAATCAAGCCACTGCAATCAGTACTGCAATATGCAACAGTGTTCTCAGCATTTCTGTATCAGTCTCTAAAGAGATAGAAATATTATATTTTAGCAGAATTATAAAGTAGCAATCATTCTGAAGACAAAGCTAAGAAAGCAAGGCAAGGCCATGTTCTGGGGAAAAACAATTGGACTAAGTTGCTTCAAGCTAATTCTGATAATAGTAATAAAGCTCACAGCAAAAAAGGAGAAAGAAAAAATAATGAAAGGACTATTTCTTCTTCTTCATATGTATCTATAGGGTACCCAACCCTCTTCATGTATCATTTAAGAGAGAACGAACAGGCTAAGTGATGCTATACAGGAGAAGTACCCCTTAGGCCAGGGGTGTCAAACTGCTGGCCCGCGGGCCGGTTTCATCATACCGGAGCCGCGCCCACCCCATTGCCGGCAATGGCAAAATAGTCCCGATACGTCTCGCGATGTCACGTCATGAAATTCAAATCAGTTAAATACAGTGCATAGTGTAGGCCAGGGCTTTTCAACCTTTTCACAGATTGTATCATTTTTAGGATATGGCAATATTCGAGTACCACCAGTCACCTAACAAGATGTCAAAAACTTGATGACCAAAAAAAATGAAAAAAGTAAAGAGATACAGGTAGACTTACAACAGTTTGCTTAGTGACTGTTCAAAGTTACAACACAGAAAAAAGATGTTTATGATCATTTTTCACACTGATCCCAGTTACAGCATTCCAAGGGTCATATGATTTACATTCAGATGCTTGGCAACTGATTCATATTTATGATGGTCATAGTGTCCCAGGGTCATGTGATCCCCTTTTGCAACCTTCTGACAAGCAAAATGGGAAACCAGATTCACTTAACAATTATGTTACTAATTAACAACAGCAGTGATTCACTTAACAAATGTGGCAAGAAAAGTCATAAAATGGGACAAAACTCATTTAACAAATTTCTCATTAGCAACATAAATTTTGAGTTCAATTGTGATCGTAGGTTGAGGACTATCTGTTCACCCACTTACCATACTTTTATGGGAAATTTGTGCTTGTTTCTCTGACATTAATCTTTGCACTGTTCTATCCCCTTGTCTCCCTCTGCTTGTCTAAAAGAAGCCTCTCCTCTTCTCCATCTCTTTCTCCATCCCTTTCTCTTTCCCTGTCAGGTTTTTTTCTCCCTTTCCCTCCAAAAGCTCCTTTTATATCCTCTCCTCTCTCCCCCTCCTCCTCTTCTCTTTGGTGTAGCTGCAGATGACGCCTTTCCCTGAGGCTGCGCGCAGCTTCCAGAAGCGCCAATCAGCTGGAGCCCCGCAGCGATCCTGGGAGCTCAGCAGAACCCCAGCAACACCTCAGCTCCAGCTGACTCTTCCAGAGGCCTGTGCAGCATTGCCGCTGTTTCAGCTCATCCCCCCGGTACACTTTTACACTTTTTTAATACATTTTTTTAACAATGCTTTTCAACCCATTGTATACGTACCACCTGCCAGGTACCGAAGTATCACCAGTGGTATGCACTACCACAGGTTGAAAAGCACTGGGGTGTAGACTGCAGAACAGGAACAAGCAGCATCAAGATCATACATCTAAAATAATATCCTTTTCTAGAAAAAGTCAGAATATATAATTTGAGCTGAACAAGTAATTATAATCTAGAAAGCTTGGAAAGAAACATATAACACAATTTCTTAGTAGTCTTATGCAAAACAAATTCAAATTTTAAAAAATACTGTTAGTTATTCTATAGCAGAAGTATCATCTTTACTGTGGATATCTATCTACAGACAGAATACAACAAAACTAGGAAAATCTTCACTGTTTCCCAGATGTATCCTATTACACCCAAATTTTAAGATGTACATAAAACCCCTGCTCAGCTTCACATTAAATAACAATTTTCTACAGTTGACCCCATGTTGTAAAATTTCCATGAAATGTTACTTGCTTTTTGTTTGTTATATGGAATTCTACAAATGTGTCCCCCCTTTTCTTCACATTTGAGAAACTACCCTATGACCTATTAATAAGAAAGCTAGTTAAAATATAGGTTTGGATGGCAGGGCAATTTAGTGGAAACAGAGATACTGTAGCTCAAAAACTGCTCAATCTCTTAAGACAGGAGGATCTCATCAATGGTTCATCAAGCAGTACAAAGGTACTTAATAGATGGTCACAATGATTGATCCTTGGGCTTCAACTTTTCAATATTTATATTATTTGGATGATAAGCAGAGGGAAAGCATCCTAGATTTGTAAATATGTACTGAGTGGGATAACTAATATTAATTAATGTTCTAGAAAATAACGATTTCAAACACTCTTAATAGGTTATAGAAAGCAATCAAGTTTTTCCCAGTTTTTCACTTGGGAAACAGAAATCAAATATACAAATGTAAGAAGAGAGGAAGAATATCTGACTTGGTAATTATACCTGCAAACTAAAAGATTAAATATGAGCCAGCAATGTGATGTGGCTATTAAGAAGGCAAATACAATTTTAAGCTGCACCAACACAAGTATAATTTCAAAGGACAGGAAGTAGTTATTCCATTCTGTTCTGCTTTAGGCACTGGGTCCAGTTCTCGGCACTGCACTTTGAGAAGAGTAGCAATCAGCAATTAACAAAACTAAGCTTCTGAAAAAGCGGCGTTGTTCTTACCTGAACGCCTTTTCTCAGCAGGGTGGTGTAGAGTCCACAGAATGGGTTAATTTAGCTTTCCTGCTTAGCAGACTAAGACGAAAAAAAGCTTGCCACGCCTCTCTCTGGGTGTGTCTCCCCAGTTTTTGGTACATGTCGAGGCGAAGAATGCAGACGCAAGGCTCCAAACAAAA